CTCAGCATAGTTTTTTTTTTTTTTACATGTCTTTAATATTCTTCAAATAATACATCTTAGTTTATTACGTAGAGTGCTATGTAATAAACTAATAAAAGTTTTGTAAAGTTATTGTACGATATAAGAATACATTAGAGTTTCCAATAAGTATCAAAAACGCTAATTTACGTCAATACTTTTGTTTCAGTCTTGAGAAGCAATGCTTGGATGATGGATTTAGTTTAAAGCCAAAGGCATTGCATTGCTGGCTAACGCGTGTCATGTATAACAGACGATCAAATTTCGATCCGTTTTTGAACAATTTTATTATTGCTGGTTTGGAAAATGGAGAACCGTAAGTGTACGTTTCCTCAACACACTTCGTGTCTTCAAGTACATCGTAAATCGCAGTTTTGCCTTTTCAGATTTTTAAGAACTGTGGATAAGCTTGGGACAGCTTACAACGATCCTGTTATTGCGACTGGATATGGTGCTTACATGGCAACGCCTATATTGAGAAAAGCTTACGAGGATAATAACCAAATGAATAAGGAGGAAGCTATCGAACTTCTGTACAAAGTAATGCAAGTTCTTTTCTACAGAGACGCAAGATCTTTCCCAAAGGTAAACTAAAATTCGTACGTGTGTAATTAATAATTTTAATTGTATTGTCAACAATCTGCTCTGTTTTTTAGTATCATCTTGGCATTGTCACAAAAGAAAAAGGAGTCGAAATACAAGGACCTCTAACTTTAGACAGTTTTTGGGGACCTGCTGCTTTGTAAAAAATTATGTTTTCTTATTCCTTTAAAATAAGTTATAATAAAAGCGTCCATGGTGAAGATCGATTCTCTCTTAATGAATAAATTAAAACAAGTTTTCATCAATTATACATTTATTTGCATTATATATATACATGTAAGGATAAGAAAATATTATTTCCAGTAACCATACTAATAATCTTCGTTATAATAACAGATATTTTATTTAATATTTATTTTTTACGCGTAAAAACGCGGCATAATACTTGCAACATTAAAACGTATATGGAAATTAATATATA